TTTCAGAAGAATGAGTATGTGACTACTCTTTTGTAAATGAGCTCTGTGGATTTTTATTCAGCAGCATGAGCAGTTTGTGGGGAGGGGGAGGGACACCGATGTCCTTGTGCCACTCGCCGGCTCTGGTGATTGTGCATTGTTTCTGGTGCTGAAGCACCAACCCTATGATTATTTTTCTGTTTTCAGTAGCTCAGGCCTTAATCCTTTGCATCATATGCAGAATCTCTGCTGCAGGGTTTTAGTTTGTTTTATTTGCATTTCTGCTGGATAGGGCACAAATCTGGTCTGTCCCTTTGCCCCTGCCCCTTCAGAGGGAACTTCCCTTTCAAAATATCTATCTTCACCTGGAGTGAAACTTGGTTTGACACTGCCCTGTTAATGTATCAGAGTCCATAGACCGGGGGGAAAAACTCCCAGAACAGGAAGATTTCCCATATTTCCTTGCCTCCCCCATCTCCACCCAAAGAGATGGAGACACTTGTGTAAAATTGCCTCCCATTCGTTGCACAAGCCCTGTCTGCAACTCCAAACATTCTAGCCAGGCTTGCCATCTGGGTGAGCTTGACCTAGATACAAACTGGTGTGTTTGAGCCAGCTTAAAGAGTAATAGGTGAATGGGACTGTCCCAGTACTTTCCCTGAAAATCATAGCTCTGCTTCCTCAGCCCTGTGCTAAAGCTGTGTTTTCTTGGGTTATTTGCCCCTGGGCACATCCTGTGGAGGACATCAGGATGTTCCTGGGGCTGCAGTGCTCCCTGTGCAAAGGTTGTAGGTTTCTCACCCTCTGTAGCCTACAAAGCCCTGCCTGCTCTGGCCTCATTTCTCAGCAGAAATAGGAAAAGGTCACAGTCCCTCACCTACTGATCCATACACTAATGGATGTAATGATGAGTGGATGTTCAGCTTTCAGCTCCTCTCTCCAGCTCCTTACCTCATAGCCCCATCAGGCCAGGCTCAGGTTTCCTGGCTGAAGGCATGGCAGCTGACAGCATCTGACCTCCAGCCTCCCTCAACATCAACCAGCAATTAAGGAGCAGGGCACTGGGGTTGGGATGAGAAGTACCCCTACTTCAGGAGGTTCTGCCCCCTTGATGCTCAAGCAGAGTCACCCTCTCCTCACCTCATTTTGGCAAAACAGCTCCACACATGATAAGCCCCCTGAGCACCTCAGCGTGGGTACCTGTGTATCCCTTCCCTGGCAGCTTCTCAGGGCTCTGAAGTCTTTGGATTACTCAGTGCTGTCATCCCCTGGGGTTTCACAACTCCTCACTTGGACTTCAATTTTCTTTTCTTCTTTAATGTTGCGATTAGAAGCTTGATACAAGGATTCTTTAAAAAACCCACATTAGGTTGAAAAAAGGGATTCTCATTCCTTCCCTGTGTTTGGCAGAGGTGGAGAAAGAGCTGGCACAGATGGACTATGTGACCACAGAATTATCCTTCAAAGTGAGCATATGGCTCAGTCTCAATAAACCTCTTGGAGAAATTCACGGAGGTCTTGAGGTTGCAGTTTACTTAGTGTTTTCTCCAGGGACTGTGGAGAAAGGAGAGAGAGGGCTGCTCTGGGCTGAGGAACAAGACAGCTGAAAGCAGCTCCTCTGTAGTAGCGCGCACAAATAATTCACGGCTCCCAAAAATGCTCTGGCTTCAACCTTGCAGTGATGGGATAAGCAGGGCAGGTGATGCAGCATGGGGAGCAAACTCATCCTCCTGGGACTGTTCAGTCCCTGCATTCCTCAAGAAGAGCTGTGCTCAGGGAGATACCAGAAGCAAGGCACTGTCACACCATCTCACATTCCTGATGGCTCCAGAGTCAACCTACTTTGTGAGTTGCCCTTGAGCTTTTGTTTTCTGCTTCACGAGCACCCAGATCAACTTTGTTAGGAAAGCTGTGTTTCTGGTGAGTGCAGCTCTAAATTGGAGGGATGATTCACAGTAGTTTGAGCTCTACCTGCAAATGTGTTGTCTCAGGCTCTGAAGCACAAGCTTCAAGGAATGGGCAGGAGCTCAACACCCCCTTGTTAAGACAGCAGAAAGAACAAGCTGTTACATACAGAGCTAAAAATACTTGCAAAGCATTGAGTCTTCCAGTTGCAGCAGAAGGATGCTCAAAGTGCTGATGGCCGAATCCATCTCTGGCACAGCTCTGACTTGATGATGCATTAAAGCGTTTTTGACTTTTTGAAGCTCAGTTCAGACAAATGCAGAGCAGTGTGGCTGCTCTCCTGGAGCTGCCATGATTTCTAACTTGGGGGAAAATGGCTTGGGGCAAGCCCAAAAGCTGGTGTTCCCAAGCGGGTCAGTACCTTTTTCAGTAGAGTTTTAACAGGCAAATGTAAGAAGGGGAAAAAAAGCACAAAATAGCTGAGATTGGCCCAGCAGCTGACAAAGCATCTCTCTGTATGTCATTTCCTGAAAGCAGGATTCACCTGGGAAATAACAACATGGAATAAATAACAGCCTGTTTGGAGGGAACCATGCTCAGGCCAGCCAGGGTGTGGGATTCATCTGGGGCATGCCATAAGTACCTCTGCTGATGGTGGCATCCTGAGCACAGGGTGCTGGGGGAAGCCCAGACACCTCCATGCTCACTGCAGAACCCAGTGAGCATCTTTATTCAGCCTGGTTTCCCAAGTCTCCCTCAACTGCAGCATTTCCCCCTGACAGGCACTGATGGAGATATCTGCGTGGATGAGGCCGCTGGCCACCCGGGCTGATGGTGATCCATTACAACGCAGTCTCTTCCTCCAGCATCCAAGTTTTCATTCATTCTTTTGTTTTTACAACAGCAGTCAAGGGAGATGCTTTGTCACCGCCTGTGACCAAAGAGCACAAAGGGAGAGTGGCTGAAGAGTTTGAACTATAATAAAATGCTCGCTGTATTGATCTTGGCTCAGGATTTGTTTCCCTTCTTGCATTAACTCCCCATCGATTTCTGTGATGACCTTAGAGCGTATGGTTTGGTTGGCCTTCTCCCTCAGCTGGCAGCACCCCTGTGCCTGCACCCCACTCTCCTTCTAGCCTTGCTGAACCTGTGATGGACCCCCTCATACAAGGGGCTCTGGTGTGAGCAGGGCTTTGCTTTTGCCTCCTCAGTCATCAGAGGTTTGTTGTTGTGTGTTAGTTGCTATGGTTAGTGTAGAGGTTAGTGCTGTATGGTTGGGTCATTGTTTTAGTGCACTATCCCAGTAAGCTAGATCCGAGGGTGAGGAGTCCTGACAAAAGTTAAAGAAGGAACCTGTGGCACAAGCATGACCAGGGATGGCTCTGCTCATCAGAGTGGCTGATTGAGGTGATGGTGCTCGTGGAAAGCCCTTTTCCTTTTCCAGGTTGGGTTCTCCAATGCTACGAGAAACCTGCTGAGATGAGACTGAGCAAAACTCTGAGCAACATCTCTGCAAGGTTGGCAGTTGTTGCTCACTCATGAAAGTGAACTTTGTCCTGTCTCCCTCTTACCTCCAGCTCTCACAGTGAAATCATTTAATGGCATTTTTGGGGAAAAGGACCTTCCTCAGGGTTGTGGCAGGGACTTTGGCTCCTTTTGCCTGTGTGAATCTGTGGCCAAAGCCCTCAGAGCTGGGGGCAGCAGCAGCACCCAGGTGAGCGTGGGGATGGGGATGGTGCCGACTGCAGTGTCCTGGCTCCGATGTCAGGTGCTGTTGTTTCCAGCCACTGGTGGATGCTCACTGATGCCCACTGTGCTGGGCTCCTTGGCTTTATTTGGTTTTGCACATTTATTGTACTTTCTATTTACTTAATTATTTGTGATCATGGATGCTCTAAGTAGGAAGAGGAATGGTGACTCTCCAGATTTCCTTTCCCCTGTGCTGTTGGATCCTTTGGTGGCTGTGATTCACTTTTTAGTCCACCCAGAGACAATTTTCTGTAAAACATTGACATCTAGTGGCTTTTCTGCTAAAGGGAATGATAGGGAACAAAAGTTTGGCTGCAGGGTGGAAAGTCATGACAACGCCACTTGAGAAAGCAAATGAATGTCCTTCTCTTCCTTACACAGCACTGAGGACATGGAGATCACACCCTGGGGGCTGAGAGCTCCTGAGCCACAGTCCTTGGTGTCCTCATCCTAGAGGAATGTCCTTCCCTGGCAGAACAATTTGCTTACTGAGCTACTTTATTTCCCTTTATTTAAGCAGATGGTTGGTATCTTGACAGTGTTCCTCCAGCATCATCACTGAGGCTATAGTCGTGTTAGTGGAGGTACAAAGAGCACGTCCTGTGTACGACTTCAGGCTGCGACAGTGGACATCAGTGTTTGGTGGTGAATATTAATGTGCAACCCAGAGTGAGATCTTAATGCTACACCTAAGGTTGAGCTTGCTGTTCTCAGCTGATGGCCTGATGGGTTCCTTGTGGCAGTGTAACCCTATGTGTGCCACTATCCTCGTGCTCCAAACCAAAGCCAGCACCTCCCTGGAAACATTTTCTCTTACAAAGTGCTGTGATGCATCCTTTAACTTCCTGTTAGGCACTTGTTGCTCCTCTCTCATCCGTGCAGTTCTGTATCAGGTGAAGGCAGGAGGATAAAATGGGATTTGCAAGGGCTTTTCCAAGATCCTTGTTAGGCTGGAAGTGGATTGGGGCTTCTGGGCACATCCCATTTATCTGGTCTGCGAAAGGAAATGTCCTGTAGGAAATGTCTTCCTCATAGGTGGAGCTCATGCAGCTGAGACCCACAGCGGCTCATCGGGGAATGTAGGACAAGGAAATGAGAAGAATCAGAGCTGTCTGTGTCCTGCTCAGGTTGGGGCTTACATCCTAGGAGCTACTTCAATTATTCTCCCAAGGTCTGGCAAGAACATCAGTTGTGGCACCAGCAGGAGTATGTGTATGCACAGAGGGAAATCGTGGATTCCTTTCTCCCCTGTAGAGGCAACACCCACTAAACAGAGACAGCTCTGTGTGTGCAGGTAGACACAATCCTTCCCACTCCTCTGAGGAGTCTGTTCTGCTGTCCTTCAGCCCGTGGAGGTGAGCACGTAGGGCAGCGCCCTGCAGCAGGACTCCTGAAAGCCTCTTAAGTGCATCTCCAAGTGTCTATTGATTTTGAATGTTAATGCACTGTGAGCTGGAGACACACGTTACTAAACGCTCTGTTTTCCCCCTCTCTTGGCAGGAATTTCTACTATATCACCATCCTGCGTGACCCCGTGTCCCGATACCTGAGCGAATGGCGCCACGTGCAGCGAGGAGCGACGTGGAAGGCATCTCTGCACGTGTGCGACGGTCGGTCCCCGACCACCGAGGAGCTGCCCAGCTGCTACACCGGGGACGACTGGTCGGGCTGTTCCCTGCAGGAGTTCATGGATTGCCCCTACAACCTGGCCAACAACCGCCAGGTCCGCATGCTCTCCGACCTCAGCCTGGTGGGATGCTACAACCTGTCGGTCATGCCCGAGGAACAGAGAAATAAAGTTCTGCTGGACAGTGCCAAGGAGAACCTGAAGCGAATGGCCTTCTTCGGCCTGACCGAGTTCCAGCGCAAGACTCAGTATCTCTTTGAGAAGACTTTCAACATGAACTTCATCTCGCCGTTCACGCAGTACAATAGCACAAGGGCCTCCAGCGTGGAGATAGACAAGCAGACTCAGCAGCGCATCGAGGCCCTCAATTTTTTAGACATGGAATTGTACGATTATGCAAAAGACCTGTTTCTGCAGCGCTACCAGTACATGCGGCAGAAGGAGCACCAGGAGGCGCGGCGGAAACGCCAGGAGCAGCGCAAGATCCTGCGGGCGAAGCAGGCACACCTGAGGGAGCAGGGAGAGAACAGCTCCAGCACTGACTACATAGGGAACGTGGAGCGGTGGCGGCGGTAGTGGGGCAAGCGCCAGGCGCCGCACGAAGCGGAACCCACCCCAGCCTGCGAGTGGGAGACCACAAATGATGCTTCTCGAGGGTCTGAAGCAAAAAGAGGTTAAAATGTTGCCTTTGCAGTTGCCTTTGCAGTAAATGTTGTACTGTACGTGGAACACTTAATCTTAGCGTGTAATTAAATTGTCCTTTTTTGGGTTTGTTGGATTATTTATGGAGTACAGGAGCCAAGGAGGCTCGTCGGAAGTGTTTGCTTGGACATTTATTTAAAAGAAAAGAGAGAGGAAAAAAAATCCTTAAATTAGTTATGAGTACAAAATGGGATGCTGGAAAATGTTTATGATGCTCAGCTGAAATCTATCTGGGAAGCAAACTCATTTGCTAATAACGAGCATTTAGCATACTCAATGCAGTGTATGAGCAGAACCTTTTCCCTTTGGTTTTACCTTAGTTTTATTTTAATGATGTGTTTTCAAGGGCACCGACTGCTTACGATATTTACCGAGTTGATGAATGGACGATGAAGGGAACAATAAAGGTCTAGAAAAATTATCGACTAGTTTTATGTATAATATTGGCTTTTAAAAGGAATAGAAGTAATTTCTCTAGTTATATAAATATTTAAAATTTTAAACTTTTTCTACCTACTGCTGTTTAGAGTTTTAAGCTTGGTCTATCTCATATTAAAAAAAAGACAAAAAAAAAGATAAAAAAATACATGCATACTTTTTCTGAACTCAATGCCAATGCTAAAGACACTGTTTCCAGAATTTTTTCAGGGCAGTATGATTTTAACCATTCTGGAAAAGCTACAGCACATTCTCATGTTTGTTTCATAAAGCCTTTTCCAAATTATAATCCTGTCACAGTGTCTCATTTTAAATCTTTCTTACCCATTAGAATACATAATGCTGAATTTATCATTCCTTAATAATTGGTGGTATAAACTAGATGAAATTATGTTGCGGATATTTGTGTAGTGTCTTTAAAAAGTCATAAAACTCTCTAATCCCAGCAATATTATGAAGAGAATTGTTCAATGGAAGTAGATTTACACTTGAATTAGGATTTACTTCCAGTAAATCTTTGCTACACCAGATAAGAACAGGGCTTTTTTTTTTTTTCCTATGCTCTTTGAGCCCTTCTTAGCGATGACAGATGAGCGAGGACTGAAAGTGATGGAAGCCAGTTTTACCATAGCCATAGTTACAGAGGATGGGAAGGTTGCATGGTGCACAGGGTGCAGCAGCTTGCTCCTCAGCAAGCTTCTCTGGGGCACAGGGTGCAGAGCTGGAGCCAGACCAGGCTCACCCGCAGTCACCCAGACTGACAGGGAGAGCAGACGGGGCAGGTGGTGCGAGGGGCTCCTATAAATCTCTATGCAAAAAAATAAAAGAACCTCTGCAAGGCTTGGGCTAGACATTCAGCAAGTTCACCAAGTACACAGCCTGCAGCACCCTGAGCTGGCCCCGAGCGGAGATCCCGGTGCGTGGCTGGAGGCACCCGAAGGGTCTCTGTGTCCCCATGGACACGATGCTTACCAGGCTCACTTGCACTATTGCCTTTCGCCTGTAACACTCTATACACCATGGGGCAGAGAATGAGGCAGGCAGCTTTAAAAGCATCTTACAGCTCCATGCCTCAGCTACCTGGAAGTGTTTTTACACTCGGTGTTGTGTGGCAGCCCCAGGGGCAGCGATCCTGCAGGGCGCTGGCGGAGAGCAAAGCAGCAGCAAACCAATACCCTGCATTAGCAGCTTCAAGAAGAGAATAACTTCATGTACAGCGATTTTATTTTTTTTTAAATGAGAAATGCAGTTGCCAATATGATGTCTCGGTTTTATTTTGGTTTTTACGGGGGAAAATAATTCGCTCTTAAAACTGAAAGGCACTGCTGTAAACAGGACTTAACTGTGGGTGAGCTGGAGGCCTGTTGCAGGACGTGCATCTTGTTTTTATGCTGTGGTGTGCATGGTTTACAGAGACTAGTTGCATTTTCTTTGTGTATACTGTTTATTGTATATAGGGGATGTACGAATATAAGGAAACCATTTTGTCATAACCATATCAAATTCTACTGATTTCCACCCTAGATGCTGTCTTATTGTGTAGATTTACAGGCCGATCCACTGACTTTGATTGTGTAATTTAACAATAGAACTGATAAATAAAATTTAACTACAGACTTCTGATTTTCATGTGATCATTTCTTTTCTGACAACATGTTGAGAACTGCAGAGTTCAGAATGAACAGTAATTCCAACGTGAATGAAATAGCAGTTGACAGTGAGTTGACAGTGAGTTTAAAGTCACAGCTTTTCTGAAGTGTATTTAAACTGCAGCTTTCAAGGGCAAGGCCAATTTGGACTTTTCTCTCATTCAGGAGTTATGGCAGGGGTTTTGACTGCTTTTCTGAGCAGTCCTCAGAAAAACAAGCTGTGGTTTCTGGTGATTTGAAATACGGTTTTCAATGGTCTGAAGTGTTGATTCTTTCTGTGCATGTACATATATGTGTGTGTGTGCGCATATGATTTTTTTTCCCCCTTAACTTGATACCCTCAATTTTTGCTCCAGCTGGCTCTGGAGGATGCTGCCTAGCCACTGACTCCCAGTGCATCCCACTGTATCCCTCCTGGGGATGTTTTAAAACACACAAAGAGAAACCAAACCAGAATTAGATGTAAAAGCAGGTGAGAATGAATTGAGTACAACGCCCCAGGTCAACTAGAAAAGATCATATCATAGTTTCAGAGTCACAGAATAGTTTGGGTTGGAAGGGAGCTTAAAGCTCACCTAGTTCCACCCTCAGCCACGAGCAGGGACACCTTCCACTAGACCTGGTTGCTCCAATCCCTGTAGAACTTGGTCTTGACCACTTTCAGGGATGGGACAGCCACAGCTTCTCCGGACAACCTGTGCCAGTGCCTCACCACCCTCACAAGGCAGAATTCCTTCACAGTACCTAACCTGTATCCACCCTCTTTTGGTTTAAAGCCATTCCCCCTTGTCCTATCACTCCATGCCCTTGTCCAAAGTCCCTCTCCAGCTCGCTTGGAGCCCCTATAGGTATTAGAAAGGGCTCTAAGGTCTCCCTGGAGCCTTTTCTTCCAGCCTGAATACCTCCAGCTCTCTCAGCCTGTCTCCATAGCAGAGGTGCTCCAGCCCTCTGAGCATCTTCTTGGCCAGAGATGCCACAAAGATGCTAATTTTCAGTATGTATGGAGGCATTTTTTTCTTGGTGACTATAAAAGATCCATAGGTTTGTAGTACTTGCAGCAGGACAGTAGACATGAAGGTGTCCATGGGAGACCTTGCCTTGACCTAGTCAAATTCCCCTTTGAGGATAGAAGTGCCCTTAATCTTGCAGGGGGCAACTTCCCTGTGCAAGGCTTTTTGAGTCATGGGAAGCAGGGAATGGAGTGCTCTGCCAGCAGATCTGCATCTGACTGGCTTTATAGGCAGGTCTATTAGCGCACTGAAAGCTGTCGGTAGAGCTGCTAATGGGATAGAGGTCATGCAAGATGCTTCCCTGCAGCTAAAAAAGCACCCAGCAGTGAAGTCTGGCATAATACCAATTGGGGCTGCCTTTTGAGGGGAGTACTTTGACAGCTGAGAAAACTCTTACTGCAGGAGAGGAAGGATGGAGGTGGAGGGGGTTGTGTTTGGACAGGCAAACTTCAGAAGCTGAGGAGCTACAGCAGTGAGTCAAGTAGCTCTCAAACCCTCCAGCAAGTTTTGAAAAGCCTGGAGACATGTTAAGAGAACTCTTCTAAGCACTGAGATGCCTCTTAAGTTTCCAGGGCTGGAAAGGGATGTCAGCACTACGAGCACTGTCAGCATCAGCCTGGGGCAGTCGGTGTTGAGCTGAGAGCTGTGCTGGAGATGGAGATGTGTAGCACTAATATTGAAGGGAATTTGTTGATTCCTTTTGCCCTTCAAAAGATTGAAGAGTTGATAACTGCAAAACCTGCGTGGCCTTGCAAAGTGCCTTATTTGGGGCCAATAGTTTGGGAGCAAAGCTTTCCTAAAGGATACCCTGGTAGGTAAGAGCTGCTGGAAGTGAACTGCGCTGCTGATTTTTGTCAATGACCTTTGCAACCTCCTTATATAACGTGGTATATTTTAGTGTGCTGTAATACGTGTTTACTTCCAGTTATGTCATTTTGGAATAAAAATGAACTCATGGGCTATTTGGTGTAATTTTTAAAAGCACACATTATCCAAAATGATCAGGACCATGAGGCTTCATCTGCAGACCCAGGCTGGGCCAGTGCTCCTGGGGCGGCACAGAAAGCAGCTCTGGGTGAAGAGGTCATCCCTACAGAGAGGTCTCCTTCAGGAGAAGTATTTTCCAAGTAAGTGTTAGATTTAAATCTTTCACTCAGTAAAAATATCCCTGTCTCCAAAGCATTTGGGGGGAGCTGGGGATGGTTTAGTTACTGCTGGACTGGCAGCTCATGGGAGGAGAAAAGTGGAGGATCCTTCTCACAGCATTCAGGAATGGGGATACTGGGATGGGGAGTTGGAGCTCCTGCTCCGAGGTGGATGGAGCAATGACAAATCAAGCTGTGATCTGAACAAGGGTGGGATCTGGGCTCTAGAGGCAGGTGGCACTCTGTCCTCCCCGCCCTGCTGGCAGCTGTGGCTCTGTGCAGCACGGAGGAACAGCCTGCGCAAACCTTCCTGAGCAAATAGCACAGCATCTGAACTCCTACCTATGAAATTCAATTCTGGGTTTCCTAAAGCAATCTCCCCGTTCCAGCAGCCTCATCAGGGAAGAGTGTAATTTCATTTAATCCTTTTCTTGAGTTCAGAGTCAACTGCGTTGCCATCATGCTAATATCACTGCTCTGCCATCTCTAGAGACAGAGTGATGAGTTTAGACCTGAAATCGAATTTGGCTCTGAGCTTCCAGAGGATCTATCAGCCAAATTACCCGTGGTCTCTACCCAGAAGCTCTGTCATGCAGTTTAGCTCTGTGAGGATGCATTAGGCCAGGCAGGAGAGGTTAGATCGCTTTTTTGTTTTGGGAGCAATGAAATGCTGAAACAATATATATGCAAAGCAATCAGAACAGTTAGAGTGAGGGCTGAGTATTCATTTACAGGACAATGCAGCCACTGCCTTTTGGTATTCTCAGCTCTCTTTATTTGTATCTTCCTTCATATGACTGCAAATAAGGCTTTCACTTGCAGGGATGTGCATAAGCAGTTGTTGACATACACCTCTACCAAACCATATAAACTATCGAGTTTGCTGTCAAATATATGTATTTTCTGGTGGCCATTCACAGTCAGGGCACGACATTCACTTGAGCCCTCATTCTGCTAATGAGGTCTCAGTTCCACAGCATCAGTTGATGCCAGTGGCACAACACTCATTTTGCCAGTGTATAGTGCATTTTCTGACAAATGAAGTTTGGGAATGGCGAGAGCTGTAGTGGAAAGAGATGAGTTCAAGGGATATTTAGGCCAAAGGAAAGGTGAGATTATGGAAAAGCTCTCTCTGTCTTGAGATTCTCAGCTCATACTTTGAAAATGCATTCTTCTTTTAAATACTCTCTTTGAATTGTAAAGGCAATCTGTAATGAGCTCAAATGATCCACAAGTTAAATTAAACCTTTGATTTCAGATTAAATGGTTTAGCGTGACTTAGGATAAAAATGTTGTGACCTTTTCCTTTCAAAAAGCCCTACAAACATAAGCTGGTTTTTGGAGGTGGGCTGCAGCTGGGTGTGAGCCCTGGAGCAGTTTCCCAGGGAAGGAAGGATGCTCCAGCTTTTCCAGTGGGGACTCCACTCCTGTCCCCACAGCAAGAGCTACTGCTCTGTGGCTGCAAGGGGAACAAAGCCTCAAGGGGTCTGTGTCCCCTCTGCAATCAATGCCTGGTGCTCAGTGCTGCAACAGCTCTGTGATGTCATTAATATTAGGTGAGGCACATGGAAAGCTTTATTTCCTGCTATATAAGCAGGTGGATAGGGGGGTTATGCCGTGTGGGAGGTGTGT